AGGAATATGGCAGCAAGAGGTGATAGCTGAATTGCTGCATTATTTGTCTCGCATTACAGTTGAAAATGTGTAGTATTCATGAAGTGTGATCATATTATTGGACAAAAATGAAATACTAAAACCAGCAAGAGACCTATTAAAATAAAATAATTGAACTGAACTGCATTCAGCTGAAATCCAATAGCAGAAGAACACATCTTTCATTTGCAATGTGTCTTGGAGAAAAAAAAAAAAAAAAAAGGCATTTACTAACAGCAGCAGTATTTAATGGTCTTTTAAATCATCTTTTGGAAAACTTCTTTATTGTTTTGATCTGAAACATCATTTAAAGTAATACCCACCTCCGCAGAATCCCTTGAGGCAATTATTGGCCTTTCTGATCTTGCCTTGCTGTGTTAGTTCTGCTTGTGTGTTTGCTTTATGTGAGCTTCCAGAAGCAATTTTCCTCAGAGAAGAAAATGCATAAATCCTTGAAGGTTAACTTGGGAGAACTCTGGCTTTGCTGGATGCCTAAGGAATTTCAATTGCCTTCTGAAACCATCCTGACGCTTTAAAAATAACCCCCATGAAGTCACAAGCAATCACGCTGGCTGCGAGTCATGTTTTCTCTCCCTTTCGAAGTATGTATCAAAGTACAGAGTTCTCTTTAATAGGGAAGTATTTCTTTCCCCCCCTGCTTTTTGTGATTATCCCTGCCTAACGTCACGTACTATCTTCTGTGGCCATTCTGCAAGTAACATGTTGTACCAAGCTGAAGTTCTCAGTAGAGAGGAAAGTGAAATTTTTAGGAAATAAACCTCCTAATTTAGCCCTCTGGTTTGTCTTAAATCTTTGCCTGTGTTTCTGAAGCCTCAGGAAGAATTGTCTGTTTAACATCTCATGTACTGAAATAAAAGAATTAAAGGTTCCCCAATGTAATTTGAAGGAGCAGGCTTTAATATAAACAAAAGCCTCTTTCTCTCCACCCTCTCACTCACAGTGCATTTTGGGTACGGACCTTGTTGCCACAGCCTGTTGTGAGCATAAAAAAATATACGGGGGCTTAAAAAGTGAGATAGAGGATCTAATGGAGAAGAGGTGAACCAGTGCTAATGGGCGGTGGTCCAGAGGGGACCTTTGGTTCAGAAATATCTGCAACTGATGATGGCTGGGAGGAGGAAGGAAGGAGGGAGGGATTACAGTGTGTGTGTGTGTGTGTGTCCTGCCTCCGTGTTCAGGAAAAGAGTATCTCCTACTCATAACTTCTAGAGATGAGGTATGGATTAGTTGAATATCTTTTTGTCTGTCTTTGTGCAACTGCTTTTTGTTTTTACAAACCATGTTGGTTATAAGCCTTATTGCAAGTATGATTTAATTCCACATTTTTCTGCTAATAGTATGTTTAAATATACATAGTAAAGTGCTCTGAAAACCAAAATCCTGTCTTTTGATTAGTAATCTTGGATAGTTTTCTGTGTTTATACAAAGATGCAGTAAAGGTGACTGCCTGCCTTGTCACCGTTAGCCAGCCAGCTTCACCAGCAGGCAAAGCTTTCAGCCCCCTTAGCACATCCCAAGCTGCTCCTCCCCAACACTCTCCTGTGACACATGTGACAAACACAGACAAGATGGGAAGTGATTGATGTCCAAGGCACTATGATGAAAGTTTTCATGCATTAACTGCAAATTTGAAGCTTTCTGTATTGCTGGAAAATGAGCACACGGTCTTCCTTTTGATCTTAGCTTAAGTGACCCTTGGTCCTTCTTCCCTGCCTCTGTGCTTTTTCATCTTTCTTTCTCTCCCTTTTTCCGTGTCCTCTTGTTGGTCTAACAGCAGCGGCAGTCTCTGTGCCTGGGTTTGCAGCCAGGGTCTTAAAATGTTGATATTCTGCATATGCTGGGCTGTGGCTGAAAGCTCATAGATGAGTGTCCCTTTGTGTGTGTATACTTGGTATATAAAGGATGAGGGAATAATAATTAAGACTTGAAGGAAATTTATTTAAAGCAGCCTTCTGAAACTGTCTTAGCTGGTCTGAATTTCCCTGATGCTTGTCTGTTCTTGATTGAACCAGTACATATAATTTTCTTATCCAGGTGTTTTTCTGTAAAGTGAAGAAAATATAATCTTTGATAGCATTGAGATTAAAACCTATGATTTTGGCCTGATTAGATTTGGTAAGGCTATAGCCACCATTGAATGCACACATTCTAGAATAAATTTTTATTAAGCAAGCCTGCCAAAAAATGAGGTTAAGAGACATTTATCGTGCAGAATAAATTTAAATAAAGTGTGAAACAGGGATTTTTTTACTATTTATTGGAGAAGCCTTAACTGTGGCACTGCTGTTAATGCCTCAGTAAAAACTATGAACCTTTTGAACAAAAATGTGGCTGCTGTTCAAAAACGATTCAAGCTGCAATTGCATGGTTTATGTCAGCAAAGGCCATCAACTGAATTGAATTCCTCTTCCTACTCCAGCCTACTTATTTCCCTATACATTACCTTTTAGAGCAATACATAAGAGCTGTCCTAGGTAACTTAGGGGCTTGCTAGCATGTTGTGAAGTGAGTCTGGACCACTTGCCTAAATCCCAGCTGGGCTGGTAGCAGCTCTATCAGGCTGTTGAAAAGTCTCTGCAAGGTGCACTGGTGAAGTTCAGGGGAGGATGTGCCTGAAAATATATAATTGTTTCTCTTGACCTCTTTCACTGTCAGAAGAATTTACTCCTGGCCAAGGTGAGACAATAGGGGATGCACTCAGTCACGTGTAGGTTCACATCCCTTGGGAAAGTTGGCTTCTAGTGTTGCCTTTTGGAACAGGAGGAGCACTTTGAAGGCTCTCCCTCTCTTCCCTTTTATTTCTTCAGATGGAAAGTACAAAGGAAGCTTTAGTTCTTCGTTTATGAACAGACTAATTTAGCTAGAATATAAGGAGTTTCATGCTGACACACATTCAAACAAGTTTTGCTGGATGCTTGTTATTTTGTATCAGATGGCTGATGGAATTCCTGAGGAATGCCTGGAAAAATGCCTGGAGTTATCACTAGGGCTATGTTTTAGAGAAACACCCAGTGTAGTAGAATCACTGCAAAAGATTTTGCTGAGTGGTAAATCAAAACTGAGGCTTTCATAGATTTTGGGTGTTTCCTTCCCCACCCACCCCACCTCCTTCCAATCTAAGCTGTTTTGTAGCACTTAAGGAAGAAAATAAATGTAATAACTGTCAGTTAATTGCTTTGTTTTTTTTTTTCTTTTAACAAAATTAACGAAGATTAAAGAATTTCAAGAAGTCTGTGTAATTTGCATTCAGTGGTATAGGATTCTTCCTTACCTCTCTGATTTTAGAGTACTGTGGGCACGATATATGTGAATGAGAACAAAACTGGGTGTTTTTACATGATGCTTAAGTAAATGAGACAAAGACTATTCAGTAGTGAAAATAATTTCACAAAGCAATGAAAATGAGTCGTAATGACTTAATAGATGGGTCATTTTGGAGGGTGTTTTCCTTTCTTCAGTCATGTCTACCTCTTCTTTTAAGTAGCGTTAGTTTTAAGCTGTTTGTTCTTGGGCTACATTTCAGGGGGATTATTTTTAATGATAAATGGCTTGTTATGATGCAGTGGATAAAAAGAATGTGCTTGTAAAGCAAAAGTAACAAAATAAAATTGTAGCTCAGATAACTATACCTATTTCTTTTCTCCTTTCTTAGCTGTGCATGCCCAAAGGGCTGTCTTTCAGGACGCAGGCAGATAACAGAGATCCACAGCTCCATTCGTTCATCATCACCAGAGAAGATGGCTCTCGTACGTACGGGTTTGTGCTCACGTTCTACGAGGAGGTCACGAGCAAGCAGATATGCACAGCCATGCAAACGCTCTACCAGATGCACAACGCAGAGCAATACAGCAGCGTCTGTGCCTCCTCCTCATGCAGCATGGACTCCCTGGCCAGCAGTATCGACGAGGGCGACGCCACGTCCCTCGCCAAGCTCCAGCGGTACAACTCCTACGACATCAGCAGAGACACACTGTACGTCTCCAAATGCATATGCCTCATCACCCCTCTGCCCTTCATGCAAGCCTGCAAGAAATTCCTGATCCAGCTCTACAAAGCGGTGACCTCCCAGCAGCCGCCACCTCTGCCCCTGGAGAGCTACATCCACAACATCCTCTACGAGGTGCCCCTGCCACCCCCGGGGAGGTCGCTGAAGTTTTACGGGGTTTATGAGCCCATCATTTGCCAGAGACCTGGGCCCAACGAGCTGCCACTCTCTGACTACCCGCTGCGGGAGGTCTTCGAGCTGCTGGGCCTGGAGAACCTGGTCCAGGTTTTCACCTGCGTTCTTCTGGAGATGCAGATCCTTCTGTACTCACAAGGTAGGCACTCGTCCAGCGATGCATGTTGGGTCTGTTCCCAGCAAGCAGTTCCTGGGCAGCTGTGGCCACAGGAGCTACTATAAAGCTGTTGATTTTCAGCAGATATGTGAAATGCAACAACGTAATGAAAAAACGTAAAAGAAATGAGTCTGTCCTGATGAAAGCACTGAATAATTGTTTCCTCTAGGCAGTCTAGGTGCCGCTTGTTTAATTATGCATTGTATTTATCACTTGTGACAGCTAGCAATAGAATTCACTTAATTATTATCCTTATATTGCCCTTGATCATGCTGCAAGACAGCATGAAACTAATCCTATCTTCTGCAAAAATACCAGCAGAAAGTAATGCATCTTGCAGAAAGCACTCTTGCTACTTTCTTTTTCAAATTTCAGCAGCGTATTGAAGTTTGGTGAGATTTCCTCCATCCCCTGTGGTGGATATGTTCTGGTTAAAGCACTGAGATGAGTTTTAGCACTTAAGAGGCTGAAGTTTTAATGCTGAGTTGGAACTGAGTGGAGTTACAGGGCATGCCTTCGTAGTCCTACTTGAGGTTATTGGGAACTTTTCTGACAAGGATGCTGGTACTTCTTTTTGAGACACTTTAGACTGCAATTGGCAAAGGCTGGCTACATTGGCAGAAGTTGCTTGCACAGAGCCTGTCAATGTTGAAGTATGCCAGCAAGCTTTTGAAAATCTGGCCTGTACCTTTTCTCTTCTGGCTATGTCTTTCTGCAATAGTGCAATACTGTGCTGCAGGTTTTGGGAATCTTGACTTAGCGCTGGACATGCTCTGAGGTTTTACACCCCTATTACTGTTTCCTGTATGATGTCGGCAGCTGTGAGTCTGGCCCTGGTGATATTTGGGTACCAAAAGGTATGTGCTGCAACTGTTGCAATGCACCAGAGTGCCCAAACAAGTCAAGTTCAAGTTTCCTTCTGACTTTCAAGGGGTTGTCCAGAGTTTTTTGGAGGTTCCTCTGTGTCTCGCTGGATACCTGTCCATATTATCTGAGTTTCCAAATGGCTTCTGTGATGCTGACCCTAAATCAGTGAAATGTGTCTCAGGGAAAAGGTTTGGGGTGGGTGGTTTCATCAGACTAGAATGAACAACATGAAGCTGGGGGTATGCATACCTTTTAACAAAAAGAAGAAAATATGCTGAATGCCTAGACTTCTCAAGAGATGTGGTTCAAGCAACAGACAGCTTGAAATGGAGAGGAGAGAGAGGATGGGAAGTCGTCTAAAATGAGTTCGGGTAATGAACCTTCAGGATCCCAAAGTGAACACTTAGGTTTGTCATAGAAAAGAAAAGGTCAGTAAGTGTGTAGTAGTAATACTGATGAATAAATGACTGAGAATGGGGAAGAATGTTTAGGCAGGTAGAAGGAGGGTAGTTCTTCTGCAAATGACTGAATTTGAAGGATTGCTAGTTCTTTGTGGAGCACTTCAGATGGACTCCAGGGGTTTGCTTTAAAGAGCTGAAAATGAAGGGCTCTATCTGCTCTCGGTTTGAAGTGTGAGCAGAAATCCTGCTGTTAGTTTTGATTAGGCTGCTTTTCCCCTCCCGTCTGCTTCTGTGTGTGTATGCTTACCTCTTTCTTCATCGGTTTGAATCGTGCTGCCTTTCCCACTTGACACCAGGGTTCGACATTAAGCAGCAACACCACTGAAATGCCTCCCCATCCCTGCTTACCGACTCACTGAAAACTGAGATTTTATTTATTTTTTTTTTTACTGTAAGCTAGTAGCATTAGGAAAAAATCTGCTTGTCAGATTACATTTTAGTAATATTTTGTGCAAATGGAGAGCAACTTGCATGTGCATTACTTTTGTAGTAGTCCTTGAGACAGATACAAAATATCTACTAAATAATTTTGACTCAGTTTTCAGTGCCACCAGAAGTTAGATAAATAAGTATTTTTCTTCCAATTACTGGCTAGAACTTAAGGATTTACTTGCGTTGTTTATTTTCACTGTGGGCTTTTTTTTTAATAAAAATGAGATAGTGAGAATTAATCCTCTCCACTCTCCAAAATTCAGATTTCCCCCCTGCCCCCCCGCCATTACTGGTGAATCTAGGGATGTCCTTGACATGACTTTTACTTCCCTATCTAATATAGACACAACTTGATGGCGCATGGGGAAAAGCATACAGTTGTATTAGGGAAATTCTGTGATTATGTAAATAGCATCATAATGCTGGTTCCCAGAGGTGAGGAATGTGGAGTGGAGGTCAAGTGCAAAGCCTCAGTTTTGGCATATCCTGATAGCTGAGTTCTTGGCTAAGTGCACTGTGGCTTCTTTTAAATGTCAGTCTTCCAATTCCTGAAAGAGAAAACAGAGCAGCTCTTTTCCTATCGGGAGATATAACCAGCCTAGACACTACTGAAATCTCCTCTCTAAGCTTTGAGATCCATCAGGGAGAAACGCTTTCTTAACTCCCAAATTCTTTCAAGGCAAAAGAGGAAAAGTTTTTGGCTTACGCATCTCTTGTTCCAAAGTAACGAATGAGAGAGTGATTTTGCGAATTTGTCCTTCCTTCCCTTTCTGCTTTAAAGAGGATGGACTCGCTGGACAGTGTTTCCAGTGGCCTGGCCTTGCTGCAACCTTCCCAAATTCGGCCAGAGATTAGTAGAAAATGGTCTTGTGTCCACAGGGTGGAATTTCAAGCAAGACAGTATTATTCACCCAAAGTCAGAATTCACTGAAATGCTACCATACTCAAGAAATCAGAGCACTGGACCAAAACCTACTTCAGTGAGGGAGCTGCTAATAACATGTATGGGAAATGTTAGCTGACTTTTTTGTGGTTCTCCTAGCCCTGTTGGAAGGAAGCTTTTTATTCAAGCTTGCCAAAAAATTTGTTCCTCTTTTTAAAGAATAAAGACTTCTTCTGGAAAGTTGCATGAAAAAAAGTTGTTGCACAACCCTGACCATACAATGAGGCTGCTGGCTCTCTACTGAGAACCTTAAACTTCTCACTAAATGTCTGTCCGCTAAAGGCAGATTGCTTTTTGAGGCCAAGAAAGAGCAGGAGAGTTACAAAAACTGCAAACACTGGGTACAACTAGTCGAACAACTTTATTTCCAAACTTTATAGCCTGCGGGAAGGATGCTGGTCAAGTGGAGTTGCACCTGGTTGCTGACACAGTTGGTGACAACAGCAGCAAAGGGCTGGCAGAAAGGTAGCACAGAGACTGTATTGGCTTTTCTGGCATGTATTTTCTCTAGTGAACTGGGAGTTGGTGATGAAAAAGTTTCTTTTTAACCATGGATCTGAGGCATAATTTTTCCAGCAGCCTGAACAAAGGCATCTAACTAAATGAAGAGGTGAGAGTGTTGGGTGACTTTACTCACCTTGCCTTGGATGCGTGATACGAGAATGTCTGGCACAGCTCTGCCATGGGGACAGGACCAATTGGTAGCTGTTTGTACCGTGGCTGCTACTGTCAGCTTTGGGTATCTAGTTGCTCTGTTCATGGTGTTTTACAGGTGAGTGGTATCCCATCACTTGGGAAAATGAAGGGGTTGTAGTGGACTGTAACTTCACTTTGCAGCTGTGGTGGTCAAGCAGAGAGGAGGAAAGACTGATGTAAAAGAATGATGAGCTCATTTTTTAAGCTCTTTCGTTCTCAAATGTTTTGGACTGCAGGCAACTACCTTAATCCCCAATTTGTCTCAAGTTTATGGTTTAGACTTTAAAGCAGCCTGGTGCTGTGGAGCTCTCACTGTGGCTTTGCAAACCACGGTTTGGGAACTGCTGGTGTGGATAGTTCTGTCCTTCTGGGCCAAAAGCCAGTACGACCAAAGCATTTCAGTCTGAAGCTGTGAAATGTCTGTGCAGCTTGGGAGCAGCAAACGGTGCTGTGCCAGCATTAGGGCAAAATGCAGAACAAGGCAAGGTTAGCTGATAACTGGCAGAGACCTGTGCTTGTGCCTAAATGGCAAGGCTGAAAAGACAAGCCCTTACTGTTCCTGGAGACAGCGTGGACTTCCAGGGAGTTAATCAAAATCACTGTTGGTGGGTAGATGTAACAGACTGCTCTAAGTGCCGACTTTGGCCTGCAAAGGTGTTACAGAAAGCTGTACCTGAAAGCACTAGAAGCAGGACTCCTGTGGCTTCAGGTTACCTCTTCCTGCATGTAGAGAATACTTTTAAGTTTAAATAGGGCTAAATTTTAACAATAGGGCTTTGAAAACCAAGGGGAGAGATTAGATTTTTTTTTCCCCCCCGCAATTCTTCAGAGTGCAGTCTTTGTTTTGCAGACTTATAAACTTCATCCTCTGAAAATCAAAGCTTGGATTATGATGTCTTCCTGTGACTTTCAAAGGAAGGATGTAAGAACTACCAGACTCCCAATAAAGCAGAAAAAAATGATATAGAGTCATACTTGTTATCACTAACCAAGGCACACAGTGTAGCACACATCTAACGTTGTGTAAGCTTGGAGCTTACAGACTTTCATTTATGAAACAGACTTGCTGTTGTAGTTTTATTATAGTTTATTCAATTGTAGAAATTAATACTCTTGCAAGTGCCCTTTATTTTATTCAGTGCACAGCTCTCCCGTGTGACCATGGAGATATAAGGATATTGTGAATGTCCAGGCTTCCAGCAGTGTCTAAGTTAATAACACACTGCGATAGCTGCTACAATTTCCCAAGGATCGGTAACAAAACGCCACTGGCATAAGATGTCTGCTGAAGAGAGATGAATTAAACTGTGGGCTCTGTGGAAACCTCGGCAATCCATTTTGTATGTCTGCCTGTCTAGGGATTTAAACATGAGAAGGAACATGGGAACGAGACAAAGATAAACTTCTTAGAGCTTAGGCTGTTTCTACTCATTATAATTTTGAGTATTTCCCAAGCTGTTTTTCAAAGGGCTTGAGTAAATGCTCCTCAAAGAATGAAATATTCTTTGCACTATTTTTTTTTTTCAGTCTTAGAAATTACAATACAAATGACTATGCATATATATAGTCATCACCTAGGAAAA